CAAAAGAAATAAAGGTCAAAAATAAACAAATGGGATCTAATTAAACTTACAAGCTTTTGCACAGCAAAGGAAACCATAAGTAAAACAAAATGACAACTTATAAAATGGGAGAAAATATTTGCAAATGATCAACTGACAAAAGTTTAATTTCCAGAATATATAAACAGCTCATACAACTTAATAACAACAACAAAAATACAACCCAATCCAAAAATGGGCAGAAGACCTAAACAAGCAATTCTCCAGTGAAGACATACAAGTGTCCAATAGGCATATGAAAAAATGTTCAATACTGCTAATTATCAGGAAATGCAAATCAAAACCACAATAAGGTATCACTTCACACCAGTCAGAATGCCCATCATTCAAAAGTCCTTGAATGATAAATGCTGGAGAGGCTGTGAAGAAAAGAGAACTCTCCTATAGTCCTGGTGGGAATGAAATTTGGTGCAGCCATTATGGAAAACAGTATGGAGATTCCTCAAAAAACTAAACATAGACTTACCATATGATTCAGCAATCCCACTCTTGGGCATATATCTGGAGGGAACTCTAATTCGAAAAGATACATGCACTATATACAGTAGCCAAGAGAAGAATGCAACCTAAATGTCCATCGACAGATGACTGGATAAAGCAGCTGTGGTATATTTATATAATGGAATACTACTCAGCCATAAAAAAGAATAAAATAATGCCATTTGCAGCAACATGGATGGACCTAAAGATCATCATTCTAAGTGAAGAAAGCCAAAAGAAAGAGAAAGAAAAGTACCATATGATATCACTCATATGTGGAATCTAAAAAATGAAAGAAAAAAGAGGACACTAATGAACTCATCTACAAAACAGAAACAGACTCGCAGACATAGTAAACAGTCTTATGGTTCCTAGGGGAAAGGGGTGGGAAGGGATAAATATGGGAGTTTGAGATTTGCAAAGGTTAACCACTATATATAAAAATAGAAAACAAATTTCTTCTGTATAGCACAGGGAACTATATTCAATATCTTGTAATAACCTTTAATGAAAAAGAATATGAAAATGAATATATGTATATGTATGCATGAAAACGAATATATGTATATGTATCTGTATGCTGTACACCAGAAGCCGACACATTGTAACTGACTATATTTCAATATAAATAAATAAATAAATAAATAAAATGAATGCTTGCTAAATACATCCCATTCTGCCTCACTACAGAGGAAACACACATTTAATAATAACAAACAACCAAAAAGTAATAAACAAAAGAATTGCATTGATAGAAAGGAATAGACAATTGCTTGCCAGTTTCTGTTAAAAGCAGGTTTCCTTTTGGTGAGGCAAAATGGGTATAGCTCAGTGGTAGAGCACACGCTTAGCAAATGCACTAAGTCCTAGGTTAAATCCCCAATACCTCCATTAAAAAAAAGTTTATTTTTTACACATTAGTGGAAGCTTATAGCCCATTTGTTCTCTATATACTTTGGCAGAAGTTGCTTATTTTGAGACTATGTTTTACTTCTGTTATCAAAGTAATTTCTTTTTTTAAAATATTTATCTTTACATACATGTCTAGCATAACTGGTGACAGAAAATAGGGTATATTAGTATTAACTATGATTAAAAAGCATCTTGGATAGCATTAGTTAAATGCTACGAATTTGACAATGGTATTCACCATCAACTGGAAATAATGAGTATAAGGTTTAAGTATTAAGAGATCCTTTCAATTCAAGCACTTTACATCAAGTGATGTAGATCTGGAGTCAAGGTATGAAGCCACAGACAAGGCTGGCAATCACTCAATATGCATCAGAGTACCAGCCCCCTCCTGATCAGTGTCCCTGGTAAAAATCAGAGTGATTCTTACCAGCTCACTTCCAGTGACCTTCTCACTAGAATATCTGCATACAATACCTTATACATTAAACCTGTCCTTAAGTTAACGACTGCCCAAGCTGGATGGGCTCTTGGAAGTTAACCAGTATTTTACTAATGGAACTAAGGTGGTTCATTGTTGGGACTGAGGAGAATGCTGAATTTGCTTTAAAAAAAAAATTTTTCTTCCAGCTAATATCTCCATCACTTAACTGAAATGACTTTAAAAAGTGTTGCATTCTTTGCCCTTAGAATGGGAGCAGAAGCAGCCTGTGCAAAGCCAGCCTGCTCCATACGTCAAGCAGTGTTTGTATATATTTCAGCGTATCCAAGCAAGGCCTTTTTAACTTTCCATCCTACGGACGGAGCTGTACTTTCCTGAATGGCAGCCAGGAAAAAGCTTGGAGATTTGGCAGGAAGACTGTGGGAAGCCTGGTGCAACATCAGGCTGAGATCTGGAGCAGAGGCTTTCTACAAAGGCAGAGGAGTGAAACACCTCCTTTTGTTTAGCTCTGCGTACGAGCACAAATGGAGCCCCCAGATTGCAATCAGGCCCTATTGTATAAACTTGAGGCTTCCATGCCATACAGCATTTTTGGCACGACGTACTTTATTATTGTTCAGCTGGAAAACCAATTAGCATTCTTTTTATATCTGGGTGTTAATACTTGGGACTTAGAGCGATTTTTTGGCTACCAGCCCACATGGCTGTAGTCTCTTGGGCAATGCCTGACAAATTAAGATAAAACTGTTACTTCATGTTTTCCTACAAAGAGAAAACAAAAACTGTTTCCTGCTCTTATTAATTGGATGAAGTCAATTTCCACATTTAACAAATAAAAAGGTAGGCATAATCAGGGTGTCAACCCAGGGCTCTTATCTCTCCCCAAGCTGGTTCCTCTGCAGGAATATGAGGGTACAAGAACTGTCAGGTTCTGACTAAGCTTCTTTCTCTTGGAAAAAATCTCTGTGGTCAACAGAGGGCTCTGTCTAGCAGGTGGGCTATGACCACCACAAGGTCACCCCTTGGCCTCTTTTGCATTTTTTTTTTCACAAGTTTGAGTAATGGGATTTACCTGGAGAGAACTATATGAGATTCCAGCCCTGACAAGTGGATTAGTCATAACAGTCAAGAGGGCACTGCCCAGTTTGAAAAAAGTAAACAGAGCCAAAAATTTCCCTATCTTGAAAGCAGAGCAAAGAAAAGTTCACACTCTAGGAATGTAGTTTATGATTAGAGAAAACCATATCTGGGCTGCTGTCTTAGAATATCTGAGCATGTGGAGAAGAGGAGGAAAAGAGGTTGAAATTGTTGTGAAAGGTGCCCATCCTGCAAAGTAGTATAAACAAGGCTTGCCATGGCACACAAATTAATGCCACAAATCAGAGGAATGTGGCTCTCCAGTGAGCAGACCACACTTGGGAAAATCTCCAGGATGATGCAAAATATTTAGAAGGGAAGTGGTAAAACAAACAGAAGGGAAGCACAGCAATTTGACTGCAGTTTTAAAACAAAAATACGTGGGGCACAAAAAATAGCTTGGGTGTAGTGACAACAGTGCTTTTGTGCTGTTGGTACTGAATGTACCTCTCTTTGCT